CTAGCCTCCTTCTAACATCGCTGGAATGCCAGGAGACCTTTTAAGTAATAGCAAACATTATGAAATGGAAGAGGACATAAAAGAAAATGTTAATACCTCAGGAGCACTCCGGTCCTTCCTAACTTTCCGCACTAGGGCAAGAACTTCATGTATACTTTGGCATCCAGAATCTTACAAAATATTTTCTTTGCATATGTCAAGACTTTATCTGTTCATTTTAGCTTGGACCTGCAGAAATGCTTGCAAAATGAAATTGGAAAAGGGAAACAAGAGTGGAAATACACAGTTAAATTCTCCACTTCGTTCCACCATAAGCAATTAGTTTGTGGTTAAGAAGAATATAGATTACTGTTCGTGGAAGAAGAAGCCAAACAACCTCTTTTTCCCAAATAATAAAATATATTATTGGCCAAAGAAACAATTTAGTCTACATACATTATTTGTCAAATGCTGTCAATTCACACGGTCCTTGTACTCTCTAAAGGGCCTCATAGTTTAAAGCCCAAATCCTGAAATGAGATCTGCTTAGGGGAACCCCTGTCCGTACACTGACTTCCAGCCACAGCAGGTCCCTGTGTGGACACAGAGCATCACGTTACAAGACAGGGACCCAGCTGACATTAATTGTACCAGGTAGCTACTAATTAAGTTGATACACAAATTGCCAGACAGACTGCTTTGAGAAGTCCCTGGACCAAAAGCCAGTATGCAGTGCTTTCAGCGAAGTAACCTTTCCCAGCATAGTTTCTTCGTTTGCTAATTTCATTAATTATGCCAAGAGTGAGTTTGTTTGACTTCTCTGGGAAATGGGCTGGCATTTCTGAAGCAGACAAAAACACTGCGAGGAGACGCCGTACTTTTCAAACATGAATTATGTTCCTGGTGCTGGCCAAGCAAGAAGATAAAATATGCATTCATGCCAAAACTGTGGGTTTGAATTCTTTTATCTGAGACATAAAAAGAAGGTCTCCCTGGAGTAACTCTGACCTGAAGTGCTTGTTGAAAGTGGCCTTAAAACCTGAGAAGGCTCGCTGTCCAGATTAGCAGAACTACATGACAATTGGCATTTGGAACTAAACACTGCACTCACAAATACAAGGTTTGTTGCTGGTTTTATTAGTAGCAGTGTATTTTTTACCAGACAAGATAAAAATGAGTGCTACTTGTAGAATATGGAAGAGACGGCTTCTCTAACTGAGCCAAACAGGGGTGGGTGAATACTGACTTTTCCTAAGGCTCTGTCAAAGACCAACAGCTTACTAGTATATGAGTGACATATGATGACTGCCAGTCTTTAACCTATGGCAGAAGCTTTTCATAGTGTACACCAGCCTTCAGCCTCATGTTCTCTACTTAGTTCAAGCCAAGTGTAAATGATATGCTTTATTGCCATGTGTCTTTACTTCTAAATGACTCTGAAGTCACAGTAATTCGAATTAATAGATGTAGTATTGAGAACCCAAATTACTGGCTGTGCAGTGCAGATCTGGGGCAATCTCTGTGTGGTCAGTCAGACCAAAGATGTGAGTATTGCCACAAAACTTGAGGGCTGATCTCTGCTATCACAAAGGTTTATGAATAGGTTTCCAAGCAGAGAGAGGGAGAGAAAGAAGAGTTCAAGGTTCCTGGTACACAGTTGCTCATCATTGTTTATGTACTGAATTAGATAACATGCATTTTCACATCAAATTTAACTGCATTCAAACATGATAACCTCAAAGCTAAATATTCAAAAGACTTTGAGCAATCACAACTATAGCATTTTTTTGCCAAGTGCTAAGGTGAAAACATGTTTGCTGTTCCAAATAAGAATTATCTTTCTCCCTGGTATGTTATCTGTCTTAAAATTGCTACTTAGAACCCAAACAAATATGGCTCTGAGACCCGTATGTTGTTTTTACAAGTGGAGTTCTTGAAATGAAGTTGTATGTCTGTGTGTATAACTGATTGATTTATTCTGCAGTTTTGCTACCCTCATAACCTTAACTTGTATTCTGTAACTCACGGACCGTTTTGGGCTCCTTGAAGCTTACATTGTAAGGCTGTTGCCAGATTTGTCAGTAAGTAAATCTGTAAAATTAGATAAGCTCCACTTCGATTGATGAAGGTGTTAAAGATTATCTTGCTGTGGTATGCAATGGCTCAATGACTCTTCACTCGTTTTGAAACAAACAACAACAAAATAAAAATCTGTGGAGGATTTCTTCTCTGTTACAGAGTCCTGCAGTAGCTACACCTTAATGAGGCGCTGCCACCAGGGTGGGCCACCGTATATTGCTTTCCTGTAGGCCTGCATGTTCCTCAGCTGCATATTCCGGCATGGCATTTTTTTCCCAAAGAGAAACATACCATCACTAAGAATGCTGAACTCCATTTAACCTTCCATTTCCAAGCTTATGTTTCTGTTTTAATTACCTCTCCAGCCTTGTGCTTAAAAAACCTTTTATATGTTATATATATTTGTATGTGTATTTGATATACCAGCTTTTTTTGACCTTTTATGCCAGGTATCCATCTATTATATTCTTTAAGAAGTTTTTCATATATGTTTTGATGTGAAACTAGGACTACAGATGTGACAGTGGATTAATAACAGGATCCAGATCTGTGACTAAGTCAGACCCAATGTAGGGCAGCAGTTCAAAGGTACTGTTGTTCTGTGGCCCATGTGAAATGAGTCTGTAGATTTGTTTTATTTCTCGGTAGACAGAAAGTTGTAAATTGGTGATGAGGTAAGCCAAAGACACATATAGTCTGAACTGCGTTCAGGCTGACTGGCAGCAATGGGGCATAAGGAAAGCTCTTCGGTCGCCCATGCTATGACTCCTTACGTGGGCTCTGTGCTTCACAAACATAGTCTGGAGCTTTCCCAGTAGATGATACCTATTTTACTTTAATACCCACTTCAGGCACTTCCCACTTAAGGGGGACATATTTGCACTGTATAAAGACTAGTGCCCTTGTTTCTACTCCATCCTTCAAAATAAGAACTGCTTCTCTCAGATCCACTTGACTCCATTAAGACCTGAATAATAACGGGATGATTAGTGGGTGTGATACTAGTACAGTCTCAGTTTCATCCAGAAGAATAAATAAAGCTAGTTGTTTGGGAAAAGAAGAATTCCAGTGGGAATAAAGACAAATATTGTGACATTTTTCTTTGAAAATGTAGTGTTCAGAAATAGAAGATGCACGCATCTTGGGGAATTTTTTCATTTTGTGACATACTGCAAACATAAGTGGTTAGCAGGCAGGAAAGCCAAGTGAGCCGGATGAATATCCAAACAGAGAAATCTGGCTAAGGGAACAAATAGAGCTGGAATGGTGATGAAACATATGTTTTCAAGTAAACATCGTAATAGGCCAACGGAAGGGGTACCGTTCCCCACAAAAATGGCAGCAGTGAACAGAGAAATGCTTAAAAAAATGCAAGTGTTGCCTTTAACTGAAGGATTCAGTAGCTTTTTGGACAGTGAAATGATCTCCCTGGCAACTGGTGATCTAACACTGGTACCACAGTCCTGTTCTTGAGGGATTCCCAGCTGTAGTCATCTACTGCTCACCTACACTCTGGCACGGTAATCTAGCAGGCGTGCGTTACTGAAGCCATTTGCTTTAAGAAATGAGAGAGATGTTTTCAAATGAGGAGAGGAGATCATCTCAGGAGAAATCTAAATTTCAATTATTAGGTTTATTATATAATTACATTAAACACAGCAGGCTTCTTCTGATCAGTCTTCATACGGTATCTGCCTCTTCCTTGGAGAATCGTCACAGCAAACTTGGCATGTGCAACGGCGTGGGAGCTTGTGCAGCCACAAAACCCTGCTGCCGCCCACCAGCCTGCAAACTGAAATGTGCTGCGGGCAGCAGAAAGGAAAACCTGAAGGTTTTTCAGTTTTGGTTTTTTTTTTCAGCACTACAGGGCCAAGGAAAACTGGAGCTCATCTCTGCAGGGATGGAGAGTTCTTGTCTCCCCTGTGAGCAGCCTAAGAGGAATCTGCTTTTGGCCTTTATGTGGATTTTGGTCCCTTTCCCTCATCTTCAGAGCCCCGAGGGGGCTGCAAGTGCTTAAGTCACAGCAGTGAGACATTTTGTGGACAGGCACCTAAAGAAGAGACAGAGACTGTCTTTCAATAAGCCCTGACATCCACTGCCTGAGTGCTGTGGACTGAAACATACGATGGGACCAAGAAAAAAAGGTCACAGTTACCTGTTCTGAGGCCCTGATCCGTACTACAACATTGGGTCGGAAGCAGCGTGTATCCTGCTCTTAGCTGCTTGAAATGGGGCTGGTCTAGTTGCTTCTCAGAAGTGTTTTCCATTAAACAGCTTTATACAAGTTTTTGAGTCAATGAAGGTGACATGGAAAAACAAGTAAGAACATTTAGAAAAGATGAGATCCAGACATGTAATATTTTAAAGAAATCTACACAATGGAAATAACTGCAATTTAAATGAAAGTACACGTTTTTTTCTTAGCGCTTTCTTGTCAATGGAAAAAAAAAAATCCTCTCAGATTATTATTACTGCGGTCAAAACCAGCAGCATCCAGAAAGCAAATGTTTTCAATGATAATCTAACAAAAATAACAACTGGTTCTCTAGTGTGTTATTTGTTTGAATTGTATGGTCTCTCTAACTCAGATTGCGAGCTCCTTGCGAAGCGCTGGTGGCACTCGCAATCGCGATGAAACAGGGTCCATTCTCACCCGGGACAAGTGAAGCTCCTCTGTGCTATCCTGCTCCTTTACTGCTTCCATCACTGTAGGCCCAGAGTATGCCACAAATACCCCTCCTTCAATGGCCTGCGCTCCCTTGCAGATTTTAACTGATTCAGTAACATCAGTAATTCTACTGGACTTCAGTCACCTTGCCCAAAAAGATGAAGCACAACAAAAGAGAGGCACGTCCTAGCTGAATTCAGTTCAAGTTTCAGCATGCCTCTTCTGTCCCCAAGTCTGTTTGCCCTCTTAGCATGTCAGGAAAAAAGAAACAATATATAATCTAATATTTTTAATTTTATGTACAGGAATATAACGTTATGGCAACTTTGTACATGAAATACATACAGTATTTAAACATGAAAATCAGCTAGGTAAGAATTTACATTAGCAATGAAACTGCTTCACGTGCAGCCCAGTTAATACTTAGTTTAGATCTGTATTTTATTGGGGAGATATTTTAATAGTTTACAATCATAGAAACATAAACATTTAAAACAAGACTCTATAAAATAATTTACAGAAACCCTACCGTCTACACTGAGAGAAAGGTCTGTGAGTTTTGTGTGTGAATAACAAGGTGGACGAATGATGTATCTCAGCCTTTTAAGTATAAAATAATTTAGAAGCAGTTCATGCAATATGGAAGCAAAGGAGTGCCAGTTCCTTCGAGGTTTCCTGCTACCTTGGACATCTACTGAGCATCACATGTGGGTCACTGGACACATGATAATACCGTTGCCAGATGCTACCAGAGAGCACCAGCCTCAGTTCCTCCAAACAATTACTTATGTAAACATAAATATACAAGTTGATATCTTTTCTACACAGTACAAATACAGGTCACAACTTCTCAGCTGTGCAAGTAGTCAATCCGTATACTTGGAAGTTGGATAATGTTCAGACCGGAGTTCCGCATATTTCTGTGTACAGGGGCACTAACAGAACTTCCTTGTTTTCACCAATTTGCCCTGATATTTCACAGAGTGCCCGCCGTGCCCTATCACATAAACATCCAGCAGGTAGGACTTGCCAGGCTGCAGGCCTCTGATTGTCTCTGTGGTCACTGCTTTCTGGATGTTCTGGCTGTGGAAGTATTTACAGAGAACCTTTTCCGATTTTTTCCTCGTATCTGGACCCAGGCACTGGTTCTGCTCTCTCTTCTTCTGCTCTTCATTGTAGTTGTCATCCACTTCCCTTTTGTAGATGCAGAATTTGTTTCTCTCCTGTGTGCCCAGCCACGCCACCGTGACCGAAGAACACGTGCGGAGTTTGTCAAAGGCTTTTATTCGCGTATCTTCAGGAAGAGAAGGAAACGACTGCTTGTTAGGCCTTGTTGTAGCCAGGATCTTCAGCATAGAAGCACCTTTTTTGCTTCCTTTCAGCCTAATGAGGTATTTAGCTTTTGCTTTTCCCCGAAGCTGGAACTGCCGCACACCCTCCACGTTCTGAGACAAGAGAAGTTTTCCATCTCTTCTAACTTGGATCTGAACATCATCCAGGCATGAATGAACGGAGAAGGTGACTTTTTGGTGAGATGAAACAGGAGCAAACCGTAGAAATTTGGCTCCCTTTCTCTTGATGAATACGTCTGTAACTTTGCCGTCCTTCAGTTCGACTGTTTTCTGTTTAGCCTCCTCCTTCGTTCTGGCAAAGGTGCCAACGTATGCGGTGCTCATGTTAGTGTTGGTATTTACTGCAAACATGTCAAAGTAGTACTGCGTATCGGGCTTCAGGTCCGACACTGTGAAGATGTTCTTGTTCCCAATACAAACTTTATGCAGGTCAACTCTCGGCTTTGAGGATGTTTGGCGCCCAAACTTTGATGATGACTTTAGGAAACCACGTTCTTTGCCAGAGTTGTTGTCTGAGGGGAAGCCAAAATGGGCAAAGTCAAATGGACTGAAATCCAGACCCGGTTTTGGAGCCATCATGAAGGCATCATCAGAACTGAGCTTGGCTTCAACAGCACAGAGGCTTTTGAAATTGTGTTCTTTATTGATGACTATGCAATACTGAATTGGCTGTTTCAGTAAGGAGGCGGTAGGACTTGGTTTCCACGCCAGCGTCACTGTTGTACGTCCCAGAGAAGTGACATCGATTCTGGGATCGTAAGGTAATTCAGGATAAGGTTGGTCCGACTCTGGAGTAGTGGTTGCATACACTTTAAAATGTGTATCTTTCTCTGTCGACAGCAGATCTAGTTGGTACAAACCAGATGGGGAACTAGAGGACACAAAGTACTCAACATCATTGCCTTTGTAAGAGAACAGCTCTGTGCCTTCCTCATTAGTAATCTGCTGTTTCTGTTGCTCAAGAGGTTCTGGTTCACCTAGATTACAAGCAAAGGAAAATATTTGTACAGACACAATCTGCGAATATGAGAAATTGAAACTCTAACAGACACTTCTACATAAAATACAAAAGTGAGATGAAAACGGAAGGTTTTACCTTCTGAGGAAGATGTAATCAGTATTTCTGTCAAATCAGAGAGGGAAATTGGCTTGGCACTCAGGTTAAAACCAAATGCAATAGAAATTGCACCTGACCAGTATTAATGGAGTCTCGTGAATGGTAGCTAAACCTTCCACTAGAGAACTTCAAGCACCCAACTTGGAGATGCCACACAGTTCCCCAGGGGGAACTGACTCTGCTGCCTGTTGCTGGACTTGGGCCCTTAGCTTCGGCCCTCTGAGTCACGCTGAAATTTTGTGCCTAAATACAGAGGGGGCCAAAGGTCTGTATAGCATACAATGTGTTGTGTATGACATTTTAGCACTTGTGTGAGCGGCTTTGGAAGCCAAAGACCTTTTCTCTCTTGAGTAGCAGTTATATGCCTATTTCCAAATAAGCCCCATGTCTACAGACAAGTCCCCTCAAAGGGGTGGGCTCAGCCCTGCTGCAATGCCAGCCCTGTCTCTCCAGTTCTTATCTTGTGTACACAGCTCACAGCAAAGCCCCCGTGAAACTGAGTTACTCTGGGCAAACAGTTTGTTGTGGCAGCATCCAGTGCACTCTGTAACTGTAACCTCAGCTTTTACTTTTACTTTTTTACAGCCCTTTTCCTTGTCATGTTGCTACCTGTTGCCAGTTTCCTGCACAACAGCAGAACAGGGGCTGAAGATCCAAACAGCAGGAGATCATGAAGATGCGCCTGCTGCGAGACTCGGCGTCACACCGAGACTGGTTTCAGGGGCTTCGAATCCAGGAGAAAAGCAGGCCTCTGAGGCGCAAGGGAAGTTGTTGAAGGTTTGTTACCTGAACCTTCTCCACTGGCTTCCTCTGGGAGCTCTTGCACACTCAGTTTCCACTCCAGAGGGGCATCGCATGGTGTCACTGTCACTGCTAAGGGGGTGTTGTCCTCTTCAACCACAAAGAAATACCTAGGGGAAGGTTAACAGACCCATACGCCAATAAATCCTGATGGCAGCCAACCGGCAGGGACTGACTTGACATGATCAACGTTGATCTTGGTGGGGCAACAGAGACAAAAGCATTAGTACAGGCAAGCATGTGCAGAGGGAATATGGAAAGGCCGGTGGGTGAGAGTTAAGGAGGTGAAGGGAGTCTCCCCACTAACATGGTGCTGCAGAGTTCACACTTTGCTTGCCAAGACAAGGCAGAGGGGTTTCTGGCCTCCTGCCCTCCCCTCCATCAGCTTCACTTTTTACCCCTACACTAACTATATACAGTATAAATGGTCACAAAAGGATAAATGAAGGAAACGGGATCTTTCCTGGAATTTAGGGATATGGTCTTCAAAGCAGGACACAAATTTTATGCTATGTCCAGGTAAGGGCCCTAGAAGCACACATAGATACATACACATTCAGCTGTCCTCCCGCATCCCCCCAAGCACTACTCGTCATTTATTGTAAAATGTTTCTCACCGATGAAGGCTGAAGGAGGTGTATGATATGAGGAGGAAGGTGGCATGCTGGTCTTCCCTGAACTCTTTGGAGCCTCATGTTCTTCCCCAGTCTAACCTCAGTATTTTCTGACCCATAGGGTCGAGGTTGGGACGTGGGGAGTTCAGGACAGACTGGCTTACGCTGCTTCTTTAAAGCACAATATGAAATAATGAAGAGAGACAAGTGTGGTGGGGCAAGCCTGTAGTTTCTAATTTCCTTCCCACTCCCTTTGCCTCTAGACATGGTTAGTGGCCCTATTTCAGGGAACTTCTGTGGTCTATGGGAGCTCTGGGCTTATCCCAGAAATCAAATAAATTGGACAGATCCTCAGCCGGGGAGGCCAGATTGGGATGGAAACTCACATAGTTACTTACTTTACCAGATTGAACACTGGCATTTGTATTTTTCTGGTTTGGATCCAATTTTTATTTCAAAACACCCAACAAATAAAGCTAGTGTTTTCAAAGTACAACTTCCTCACTTGAACCAGACAGAAATACCTTTTTGGGGTGTCTCGGAAGAGGTAGCTGCTAATTTCGGCTCCATCTGGGATGACTGACGAATCATGGAAAAATGCTTTGTCCCGGATCTGCATTTGGAAGAGTTCCTCATCTCTGGTAGGTAACTTCTGGGGCCTGGAGGTAAGCGGCAGCAGCAACAGCAGCAGCGGGCAGCGCAGCAGGAGCATCCTACAGCAATGACAGAGAGTCCCACCTGAGGAAGGCTGCTCCACATGCAGCAGGAGCTGCCACCAGCTTGTCCCACTCTGGCGAAGCACCAGTTTATTCGTGACCCGCGGTCGCTGCAAATTCGTGTGGCTCTTGCGGGCTGATTTACTGCTGAAACATGGGTATACCTATAACAACGTCTCATGCACTTTATGTTTTGCAGGCACCTTCACGGTACTGCTGTACAAGCACTAGTAATACATATTGTATGGACTAAGCTCGCATCGTCACAGCGCTTGGATAAAGTATGTAAATAAAATTTTTCCATCTTGAACTGTAATTGAAAGCAAGCCCACGCACTGGTTGCAAATTGGTATCTCTCACTCTCATTAACAAAGAGCAAAAGCCTTCCACATACTTTGGTAGAGGTACAGTTTGATGTTTTGCCAGAGCAGAAATAGAGCTCACTGGACATGGGAGCTAGAGTAATCACAGAGCAGATGGAGGGTACATCGACTTCACTATCCGTAGGAGATTCTGGTTGGGCTTCCAACAATCCTTTGAAAAGTAAGCATTTCCAGTGAAATTGTTCTTTATTAAAATAGTGAATTAGGAAAACATGTGATATAAACCCACACATATTCAAAGCACATTGGTATTAGCATGCAATTCAGCAGGGCTTAATCCTCAAGCCTGATGGGAATTGCAAAACGCAAAAGCAGAGAATCACTTACAAATTAGGCATAATAATTCATAATCTCAGCCTTTCATTATTATGTCTACAACTAGGTCAGTAATGACTACCCTAACATATACAGTGGGACAGGCTGGAAATCTCCTTTCAGTACAGTAGATGATCTCATATGTAATGGCTGTGGTACGGGGGAGTGATAGGGGGGAAACAAAGCCCATTTCTGGTACGAGTATAGCGAGTTTAAATTGGTAAATGATAATATTTTTTAAAATTAGAAAAGAAGAGGTTTAGGCCATTACCTAAACTGTGTTAGCCACTGGCTTTGGGGAGAAGCATGATAAAAAGCTGAACTGGCAGGAACAGTTTTATCTTGTTGTTACTTGGCTGAATGTGCGGTCATGCACCGCTCCTTGTACTGCACTGTTAAGTAAACTATGGCTTTATAACAAACTCTTTCTTTTTACCTTTAAGACCAAATCTGCTGTTGAGGTTGGTTTTTTTTTTTCCCTTCCACTTGACCTTTTCCTAATATTTGATGTAAAAATAGCAAACATAAAGCTCCTTGAGAAGTGGCATGATGTAGTCTAATCCATAATAAAATTGCTCTTCCCCTTCAAGCACTTCATGAAGATATAAACAGGCACCCCTGAGGGAAGCCCCAGCAGCCTCCTCCTTCCCCCTCCCACGGCTTTACCTTCCAAAAACCCCGAAGGAGCCACTGGAGGCCAGGGCGGTCACAGCGCGGGACCCTCCTCCTCGCTCCAGCCCACCCCTTTGGGAGCCCAGGCCCTTTGGGAGCTTTCAGCAAGACCCACTCCCCAGCAGCCCCAAAATCCCCGCATGCCTCTTCCCGCTCTCCTCTCCACGGCACCAAGCGGCCAGCAGCCTGCCAGCCTCTGCCCGTCTCGTCATCACCACGTCCCTGCCGAAGCTCACTGTGGGCGCCAGCATCCCGAATGTGGGAATTCGCCGCAGGCAGCATGGGGTCTCGTCCTCTTTTTCACCCCTGAGCTCCTGACAATATCTTCCCAAATCCAACCTCCCTGCTGCCTCTAGCTTCCCTTCCACCGTGCGCAGGGAGGAGGCTGCAGCATCTGCCTGTCTTGCAGTCCGCCCTGCTCCCGGTACGGCTAAACACAGCCGTCCACATGTAGGACAGCAGGTCTCCTGACACCAGCAAGGCCCACGGAGGGCTATTTTCGCCCTCGTATTGCTTCCTCTGTCTCTAACATCATTGTTATTGAATTGCTCCTTCCAGCAACGGCGCAGGTCATCCCCGCTCAACCCCTGCCCTCCTCTCCGCTGCCCCTGGCCCCGTTACTCAGCTCATTCCCACCCCGCTTGCTACTGTTTTCTCCCACTCGTGCTGTCCAGCTCGGTCCCTGTCCTTCATCTCTCTATTTTCCCACTGAAACTGGTGATGCAAGAGGGAGGAGAAAATATGTAGCAAACCCCGAAGTAACCGTAAGCCACAAGTGACGCATACTGAAAACTCTCTCGCCAGGATGCAATTTCATCTTCGCCTCCTTTCACTTGTGCCTTCCCTCACATCAAGGCTGCTATGCCTTCCTCAGCCTTCTCCCTCCCCGGCCCGCTGCATATTCCTATATTTGCAGCCAGATCCTCCCCTTCCTGAGTGGAAAACCTTGGGAAAGATGAAAACGAATGCTTGAAGTTCACCTAGCAGAGTTTCCCCTGTGGTCATGTCCCAGGTGGGCACAGAGACCGTGGAGGAGCCCCATGCCCCCCATGAGCAAGTGGCAAGCGTGCCGGGGAGCCCTGCTTGCCGGTCAGTGGCCCCGCCATCTTGCAGGGAAGCCCTGCCTGTGCCGAGGCTGCCAAAAGTTATTTTGCAGTCGGAGAAGGCTGCGCCCTTATTTATTTGGCGATAACCCGGTGACAGCAACACATGGCCACGGTTCCCCGTTTGCAGGGTTTGTCACACTTCATCTCCGGCACTCATAGGTCTCAAATTGTGCGCTTCGTTATTGTTTGGGATGTTTTAATAACAGGTTACTGCAGTGCTCTGCCCTGTGGAAGGGAAAGGAGTAAAGGGCTTTATCTAAGACATGCAATTGCTACTTATAGTTAAATCCTGATTTAGCTTTCCCAGTGTGTGTCAAAATTTATCCCAACCAGGTCCTGACTTAGCTTTTGATGACAACAGACATATTTCCTCGAATTCAGACTGAAGTGTTGATACTTATCAGCAAAGTTAATGACATTTGACCTTTTGGAGCAAAGATCGTAAGTCAAAATACTTGCTGACTTGAGTCACCGAAGTCAGCAGAAACCTCCTCTCACACAAAGCAGGATGAGTTTTGTGTGCTCTAACACGCTGTTTATTGATTTTTCAAGTATTATCATTGGCCAACAGTGAAGAAATTCTTTCCAACTTAATCACAACAGTTACAGCAGATTATTTGGTTAGGTAAGAAACTCTGACACTTTCTGCAGACAGCATCCTCCACATGAACCCCTTGAAACTGCAATCTTATATATTCCCATAGTCACTTCCAGTGCAATGTAACCTCTATTAAAATAAACGATTTTTGATTATAGGACTACCCAGGCTAAGCTTCACTTCTTAAATAATTTCACTAGCTAATGCACTTTAAAAACTCCAGTAGACAGCGTTTCTGTCCCCGTTAACAACCATGGTGTAGCGACAAGGTACAGATTTGTCTCTGATTCCTTTATCTAATTGTAAAAGCATTTCGGCTTAAAAATAACTACAAAAGACACATTAAGGTTAGTTCTGTGATCCCTGCCCAACCTGGGCAGGCAGCACTGGCCCATCCCATACATGAAATAGCTTGCAAAGTTGTCAACTGTTACTGAAAAAGAAAAGTTTTATAATCTTTGTTCCTTTATATGGTAATAGGATTTTGAGTGCTTTCATTTTCACATCTCCAACCTCAGAGGCTTAAAATGGTCCCAATTTTCATGCATGACACTTCCAAAAGCAGGACACCTCAACGGCAAAGAGGCATCCAAAACTCACAGTTTTTGGAAACCGTGCTGTCAGTGTTATACCACCCTTTCACACCAGTTAATAAACAGATTTTATTTTTTGCAGTGCTCTCATTATAATTTGGCAGAGTTCTAAGCTAAAACCTCTGTAGTTTACTCATGCAAAACATCAAGAGGAAAGCAAAAGAAATAATTTATTCATCCCATGTTTCTTTCCGGGCAAGTTCACCGCTGGGCAATGACTTTGACGGTGTCCCTCAGAAAATGCACTTGCTAGATGGGAGCACGTGAATTCATGCTCTCCCACCCAGCCCTCAGAAACTTCCAACAAACGATTTTCTTGTCTCGGTGTGCCGTGCTCCGAGCCGGGTTCATTTTTAGAAGCCAGGTACAAGCTGAGGCCTAAGCACTGCACTGTAAAGCCATACAAATTACGTGAAATATGTTGTGTGATTTTTTATTCTCCAGACTGTGCCACCTCCTAAATGCCTTTTATTCCCTTTTCTACAAGTTCGTCTTGTTTTCTTTTCTTTTAAACTCTAAGTCAATATTTTATTGATATATTCCT